TTTAACTGCAAATTGTTCCTATATTGCTTAACTATTTATGTTTGAAAATGAAATGCATTTTTCTCTTTAAAACATTGCTGAAGCTTCATTAGTAACATAGTTGGAAAGAGAAAGAGCTAGATGTATTACTACTGGTTATGATTGCAGTGTTTGTTAACTTAGTCTTGATATATAATGCCCAAGTTTCAGAAATACTTTTTTTTTCTTGTTAAAACACCACCATAGTACAGGTGTGTGTACATATGTACTTTCTCATCAGCTCAACTGGCCTAAGCGCATGGTAGATGCCATTAGCTTTCAGTTTGGGAATGAGCTAAACTTAGTTTCCATTGCTTTGATGAGAGCTTTCAACTATCATTTACGTCGCTGATCACCATTTTGGCTAATAATTTGGATGGAGTTATGTGTGTATATTTTCCCTCTGTAAGCTGTATCATCTATTCATGTATTGAGTCCAGTGAATGATTCTTTTAGCTTGGGGATTTTGGTCCAATTTTATTACTACTGAGTTATGGTCTATATAAGAATGTAAGAATCAAAAGTGGATTTATTTTTTATACATATTTTGTGTTTTTTTCAGTTTTTAATTATCCACACACTTTATTTTAGCTTGGTGATTTGGGCAATTTTAATATTACTATATATACAAGAACGTAGTAGAAGAGATGAAAATGAGTTAATTTTTACATATATTTACTGTGTTTATTTCCTATTTTTAAATTCAAAAACATTTTCCGTATCTTTGCAGAATGAAGATGGTGGTTTTGCAACATATGAGCTTAAACGATCTTATAATTGGTTGGAGGTACTCCTCTCTCATCATTTAGCCTATTCTCATTAGATTTTAGTATATCGTCTTTGAAATGTGAAAGGTGTGATGGCAGGTTATGCATATTGATCTTCCTGCAAGAATAACAAAATCCATATATCTTGTTTTAAAGCTTCTAATTTGGCATTGTTCCTTGAATTCCATTTACATGTTATGAAATATGTTACCTTGTAATAAATTCCAATAACAATATATCTTCTTTTAATTTCACTAAAGGTTTATCTGTGTTCTCCTTTCTATACAAATAAATTATGATTGAACATTGGAAATAAGCAGCTAGATTACTTTAAAATCATATAAGTTGAAAAGCACACTTTTTATCTATAAGCTCAAAATGTTGATATTGATGATGCTCTCTGTTGTCAGTTAATCAATCCGGCTGAAACATTTGGTGACATCGTTATGATTATCCGTAAGCTATCAAATGTTTGTTAAATACCAGTTTTTGTATTTATCTTTTTTTCCTCTTATTCCACTATTTTAATTTTTTATTTTAACTTGATGGTTTCTTATGTGCTCTATAGTTATGTGGAATGTACATCAGCAGCAATCAAGCTGGCATCATTTAGGAAATATATCCTGGACATCGCCGAGAAGAAATACAATGTTGTATAGAGAAATCTGCTGCCTTCATTGAAAATATACAAGCTTCAGATGGCTCATGGTATGCTCCTCCCAACAGGGAATTTTCTATGGATATTGTGTATAATGGTGAAGTGTGTTTTTTGGGGTATTCATACATCTCATATTTGGTCTACGCTTTTTTTTCCTGCCTGCTTCTGTTTCTGCATGGATTTGAACTTTCTTGGTTAAGTAGATCTCTAAACTCAAACTGCTAAACAGGTATGGTTCTTGGGGAGTTTGCTTCACTTGTGCTTGTTTGGGGTAAAAGGATTGATGCTGCTGGAAGAGTTTCAGTAATTGCCCAAGCATCCGGAAAGCTTGTGAATTTCTGCTGTCCAAGCAGCTTCCTTCCGGTGGCTGGGGAGAGAGCTATCTGTCCTGTCAAAACAAGGTCAACTTTGTTATTTCTAATGTCAATATCAGTTTTTTTTACTCTGCACATTCTATGGCAAGCACCAACTACCCAATGTTTGTATGACCAGTGTCTTGTGCTTAAAGATTTATAGATATGATCAAATATAGAATATTATTCATGATACTTACATTATAGTTTAATTCCCTAAAATTCGATTATGACCATTTGTAGGGCCATAATTTCGTTGTTGGTATATTTTTAGGCTGTATAAATGTACCCTCTTATCTGAGTCAATGAATGAAAAATTGCCGATCAAAAAAATTGAATGAAGAATATGAATGTTTATGCATTATCTTCTTTATGGCTTTAATGGTAGAATTTTAGGTATTTCCATAGACAGTTATCTGCTTCCTGTCAAGTGGGGTTTTTATAAGCTTACTGGTCCTAAATTCACTATCACTAATTAAGCTGTAAAGAAGACTAACCTAAACATTAATATTTCTCATTCATAGGTAAGAAAGGTACATCTATGTAGCCTAAAAACATACCAACAGCTAAAGGATGACCCTACAAGTGTCATTATCTCATTTTAGGAATTAAACCATAAACTAATTATTATAAATAATATTCTAATATTTTAATATCTCGAATAAAAAATCCTTGAACCACTTTCTTCCTTCTGTTGCCCTATTCTTATCGTATTTCCCCTTTACACTAATGCCTTGGTTTCAAGTTCAAGAGATGTGTGCAAAAGTGCTATAAAAGATGGGAAAAATGATTTATAAAAAGAAACTACACGTTTTCTACATGCAATAATATCAAGAAATTAAAATGTCCTTTATTGAATTGCCTGCTTTGGGCACTAACTTTGGTAGTCCCCTAAGGTGGGACTGTAGCTGGAAAGAGATGTGGCAACGAAGAAGAAAATGGAAGTGGATGGTTGTGAAAAGTGAAAGTATGAAGAAAGTAAGAAAATGAGGGTATGGTGGACAGGTTTTACTTTCCGTACAAAATGAGATGAAAAATGCCGAAGCTGCGAAGGTCGAAAATAATTTAAATAGAAGAATAAATAAATAAAAATATCAAGTTATAATAAGTATTTTAACTTTGTTTTTCACACCTATCTTCTTTTCACTCATCTTCAGCACTTTCTCTTTTTTCTTTTTTTTTTCGCTTTCACTCTCTTTATTTCTTTCCTTTCTGTTAAACGGAGTATACGTAGTGAATAAGAAGTTATATTTTGTTAGGGTCCCCAAGATGAAAAGCGGAGAAAGAGAGAGAACTGCAAAAACAAGAAGAAAGAATAACAAACAGCGCTAGAGATATGAGAAATTCTCACAACCACTAGGGTTTCCCTCAAAAACCAAATTGCGGTTCTGCTATTGATCATGGCAGAATGAATTCCATAACAGCGGGTATCGAATTTCACTACCCAACTGACAGCCCGTAGTGTACTAACTCATTTCCTATGTCCCAATTAAGTCGACTGGTTTTTATTCTAGATGTCCATGTAAACTAAGTTGGCATGGGTAGCATCAAATGCGTTCTGGGTAGTTAACTATACAATGAAATTAATAGCATTAGTGGATTCAAAATTTCACAACTTGTTTTAAACACCGAGGGAAATGCAGTATTATCTCAATTTCTGTGTAAAACATAAATTTCATATATATGTCCCTAGAGAAGTGGAATGTAGTAGTTACTTGTAAAATAATATCAAGGGAAAGCTCACTTCAAGAAGATGAAATGATGAACATAATTATTACAGGTGGTTGTGGAAATGTAATTTGCATAAAGATTTAAATTAACACCGAGCTGGATTGCTTTCAGCAATTTAATTAATGACATTACTTGAGTAATCTTTCTAGCAATTTGTCTTTGTTCAGGTATATTCAAATCTGGAAGGCAACAGGTCTCATGTGGTAAACACTGGGTGGGCTATGTTGGCTCTCATTGATGCTGGACAGGTATGAAGCAAAGTTTACCTATTTTGTAATGTAGCCATTGTATTGATTAGTTTGTTGCACAGCACCCATTTTTCGGCTTAGGACAATTAATCATTGGTTTTAGAAAGGACGATTATGATTTTAAGTTAAACAGTTTAGAGATAGCTACAAGGGTGATGCTGGGCGCAATGGTAAGGTTGCTGCCCTGTACAGCTTTAATCTTGAAAAAAGCGTCTCTGCTGAAGAGAATTAGGATGCTTACATCTACTCAGCCACCCTTTAAGCTCAGATATAGATATGCCCATGGCTGAATAAATTTATAATATAATGATATAATTAATCGTACTAATATCGTCATAAAATATTATATATCATGTTAATATCCTATTTAGTTTTTCTATCTTCATTTCCTTTCCGTGATGTGTGATAACAGCTTGATTGGAGCTTAAAGATAATGTATGAAAATGATCAGCTATCTTCCTCTACCTTTAATTGGTAGTTGATGTGCTTATAATTATGTCCATGCCAAATGTGATGAACGTTTGACATTTTCCCAAATAATTGGATACTTTGTCAATGGATTCTGATTTACATCCTTATATCTGACCCTTCCTTATTGTGCCGGAGAAATACAAAATAAAAATGATGTCGAGATTGTACTTATGTTGTTCCACTGCCTTGTTAATAATGTAACAGGCCAAGAGAGATCCGACTCCACTGCACCGGGCAGCTGCATACTTGATAAATTCCCAAATGGAGAATGGTGACTTTCCCCAGCAGGTATGAAGGCATACTTTGTTTTTATTTACTACTTACACTGTGTATTGTTTACATAAAGTGTTTAAATGTGTAAAGTAATTGGAGTGCGAAAGTAAGCATGCATCCATTCCTGATTTAAAGTTATAGTGATTTTAATTGAAATCAATAGTAGATGATGCATCTTTCTTCGTTTGTTTATTATTCACTTTAAGTAAATAGCTGCTTCGTCGGCTGTTGAAATAACTTTGACCTTACTTTATCATCACTTCAGGAAATAATGGGAGTCTTCAACAAGAATTGCATGATCTCATACTCTGCTTACAGAAACATATTCCCCATTTGGGCGTTGGGAGAATATCGATCCCATGTATTGCAAGCCCGTTAATATCGACTTAGTTAGGTGTGGTCCCAATTATTTCGACCTGTAGACATTAAAAGAAAAAATTATTATAACTATTATTATTTCGACCTATTTTTCTTTTATTTCCATGCCTCTCTTAAAATGCTTGTGACTAACGAGTTTAGTTGTCAGCTAAAAAGAAAGCAGAGCAAACTGGTGGAGAATGCCTGTACGTTTTTTCTATTACTCACTCTTAAACGCCTCTCCTGCTTTCCCTGCGGCAGAGGAATTAAATACATACATAAATAGAGATATAAATGTTTGTCACTTCTTTTGGGTCAAAAACGAAATTGTTTCCGGCAATCGATTCAATTTGTTTATGATTCACTGTTTGAAAGACATGAGTGTGTTGTATAGTATCTTCTCAATGGCTTGTTTATCAAGATTAAAGATATGATACATATGAATATGATAAGACAGCAAAATAAGAATAAAATAGTTGATAAATTTGTATCCTGTTTAATATGCATTAGATAAAATAAAAGTAGTATATTTACAAAAAAATTTAAATGACCGTGTTGGTGATAAAAATAATAAAAAAATTGAAACAACAATTGAACATTAACAGTAAGAGAATTTTGAAAATGTTTACAAATACATTTTTATTATTGATTAAAATTTAATAAAATGTCCAAAATGTTCCTTCAACCACGACTTTAAATTTAAATGCAACAATACTTTTTTCAAGTAATGTCAACTTCAACTTGGGAGTAATTGTTCCAAAGATTATCTCAACCTATATTTGTGTTCTGGGCTGATTTTACTTCCTTCAAGCAATGCCAAGTTGGGGTAATTGTTTGGGATTTAAGTCGCTTGGGGTAATGTTTTTGATTTAAAGTCGGTTTCAACTCATTCACCCCTTTTTTCCAAATATAGGTCGTGTACAGCTCGCCTAAAACCTACTTGCAATCGCTTTCTGCACCCCATTAATTTCGACCTGCACTTCCTCATTTTCTGGAATTTCAGTTTTACTTTGGAATCTTTGTTTGAAATTGGTGTCCTTTTGTGGATGTGAGAATTGCATTTTCTCCAGAGAGTAATGTAACACCCCGGAAAAATCATTTCAGAAGTAATTGAGAAGAGTTTGGGAAAGAAAAAGTAATTCCATAATAGTTATGCTGAGTTTGTGTTCCGGAAAATGAAAAATGATTCCAGAATAGAGGTTAATGAGTTTCGGAGAGATTAATCCGAAAGTTAATTTTAATATAATTTCACTACTTAACGTTTAAACTTATATCACATTTTTAAAGACAAAATAGTGATCATCTAATTTTATCTATTGAAATATTTTTTTTTATCAATCGTACACATCACATCATACATAAACTTTCATTTTAGATCATTCAAACTTTTTCTTAATTCAGAAAACAACATAATATTTTTTTATTCCTTTAAATTCATTCACCCATTCTCTTTGAAATCTATTTTCCAAATCCAATATATTATAAAACGAATGAAATAAAAGAAAATAAAATAAAAAGAAAAGTTGTCTAGAATAAGAGAAAGATGATAAAAAGTGAAAAACAACCGTAAGTGATTTAATTTATACAAAAAATTATAAAATAATTAAATTATTCTTATTCTTATTAAAATCTATCTGAATGAGATTTAACGAAAGAGGTGTGTTGAAAGTCCACTTCTTATCATTACTTATTTAAAAATATACTTCAAATTAGGTAATTTATAATCTGTGTCCAAATTATGCAATCCAAAAATACGATTCATGGTCAATTTAGACTTTTCTATGAAAGTGCATTAATATGGGATAAAGAAATAAAGAGTTAAATATTAGATATAGGTACCGATTACACAATTGTCTACCAAAGAAAATTTTTCTTACAGCACTGTTATAATTTGTTGATATTTTTAAACAAAGATAAAGGTTTTCTTCTTTCATTTACATGTGCGGATAGAAAGCATGGGTGCAAGAAGAAAATAGCATGGTCTCATTATCAAAGCCCAAAATAAAAGCCGAACAGAAATGGGTTTCTTATGGGCCGGAAAGAAAAGGGTCCTTAAGCAGAAATTCGAATTGATGGACAGAGCGCGAAATTTGAAGTAATGAATTAGTAATTGGAATGGATAAGCAGAATGAGAGTACAGTACTGAACAAAAATTGAATTTCTTTCTCTATTCCACTCTTTCTCTCTCATCACTGATCGTAAAATAGAAAACCAACAGAAATGAGCATGTGCCTTGTTCTTCTTCTCGTCCTCTGTTTTGCGTGCGGGGGACATATTTTGCCAAACCCGAGGTGAATTTGGAGATTCGCTCCGATTTGAAATTTGAATAACATCTGAAGTATCCTTGTGGAATGGTGATCTGAAGCGAAGGAGAGAAGATGAAGAAGGGACAGGGTGGCAGCGGTGGTGGAGGCGGTGGTTTGGAGTTGAAGCAGAGAATAGTATGTGCGCTGAACAAGGTGGGAGATCGCGACACTCAGCAAATAGGAATGGAGGAGCTAGATCGTGTGGCGCAGGGTTTGAGGCCTGAAGGGATATGGTCGTTCCTGTCGTGCATTCTGGAGACGGAGTGGGAGCAAAAGGCTTCCATAAGAAAGGAGTGCGTGAGGCTGATGGGAACCTTGGCCACTTACCACGACACCCTCCTCCTTCCTCACCTTCCCAAGATGGTCGCCAGCATCGTTAAGCGCCTCAGGGATCCCGACTCCGTCGTCCGGGACGTCTGCGTCAACACCGTTGCCCTTCTCGCCTCCAAGTTGGGCCTCGCCCTCTCACACAAGGATAAGGTCTTTCTCTTGCTCGTCAAGCCCATTTTCGAGGCTCTCGGCGAACAGAACAGGCATGTTCAGTCCGCCTCTGCTCTCTGCCTCGCCAGGATCATTCACAACACCCACCACCCTCCTCTTTCGCTCCTGCACAAGATGCTTCTCAGGACTCTCAAGTTGCTTAAAAACCCTCATTTCATGGCTAAACCTGCCCTGCTTGACCTCACCAAGACCCTTATCCAGGTTTCCTTTCCTTCTACCTTAATTAATTAATTCATTCATATATACGATACTGGGCGCATTTAAGATTTGCATTAAATTAACTTTCTGTACGAATGGAGCTCTAGTTCTGATAACAAAGCACTACCAAAAGCTCTTAAAGCAACTATAGAGCGCACCATCCCCACTCGGATATTTCAGCCTAACGAGTCATCTCAGTTTTGACTCTAGGTTTGAAGTTACCTCTAATTACTCATATTCAAGCTTTGTTATCCTTAACCATCCTATCGTCTATAAGAGACGACCTATCTGTGGTCTTGTACCAAATAAACACCTAAGGAATTGTATCTAAATTTTTATCCCACAAGATTGCATGCAAAATTACATGTTTCTTTCATTTTTCAGGCTGGGGGTGCTCCAACGCAAAATATTCTCTCCGCTGCAATTGGCAGTATCCAAGACGCCCTAAAGCACAGTGACTGGACAACTCGCAAAGCAGCTTCTGTGGCACTGGCGGAAATCGCTCTGGGCGGTGCTTCTTTTTTGGGATGTTTCAGGGCTTCCTGTGTTCAGTCCCTTGAGTCGTGTCGATTTGACAAGGTGCTTTTCTAATTTTTTTTTTGTTTTTTTATATTCATCTTTCTTGTGACTCAATTTATTACATTCTTATTCATCCTTGGTTGTGTTATAGGTAAAACCAGTTAGAGATGCTGTTTTGCAAGCGCTTAAGTATTGGACAAGTCTTCCGGCTCCCGATACTCCTGACCCTTCTGAAACCGGATCCTCCTTAAAAGGTTTGCCTATGTTGTCTCTTTTGTGAACAACAATACTTGATATTTAATGTCTAAAGAGCGGACACCATTTCTACTTCTTCGCACCCAGTAACTTTGTTCGCCTTGGCATCATCGTTATCTATGTTGTGAATTTGTGATGCGCCCTTTTGATAGTGACCATTCTATTCATCGACATGCTTTCATTGCTTTTTGTTTATGTTGTGTTCTGCTCATGCTTTTAACAGAAAATATCTGCAGAGGCGACTCTGATCTTAGCAGTACGACCGAATCCAGACAGAAAGATGTTAGGCTCCAAAAGGTTAATATGAAATCAACCATGGGAAGGATTCCTTTGTCTGTTAAAAAAACATGTCAAAATTATACCAGGAACACTCAGCATAAACCTGATGATTGGCATGTTGAAGTAGCAGTTCCCAGACCCCACTCTGTTGTGGAATTCCAGAATGAAGAATCAGAGAGTTGTTCTGTCTCTAAACCATTGGAAACAATGAGTGCCGATGTTTCAAGCATGCAAGATGTTGGTTATGAATATGTGCCTATGGACGACAAGCAGGAGTGTTCTTCTGTTTCTAATCTTGCCACTGATAACTTTGAGACCAAGTTTTTAACTGCTCATGACTGCTTTGTAAATAGTGGAGTACCAAAGCCAATTGCAAGAAGCCAAAGGTATAGTGAAGAAAGAAGTTCTGACGAACAAGTGTACTCCGTAAAGATGCAGCACCCTAGTAGTTCTGATTCTACAGTCACAGAGCCAAGTCGTCAAACTACACATGAATGCTGTATGCAAATGGCAAATGAAATGATTTGTATTCAGAATCAACTTTCCGATATTGAAATCAAACAAGCTAACATGATACACCAATTACAGGTATTATACACAC